TCGCAGTCGGAATCGGATGAGGTGTCGCCGTCGGCTCCGTCGTCGGCGCCGGCGTCGCAGTCGGAGCCGGATCAGGCAGTCGGCTCTGTCGTCGGCGCTGGCGACGCAGTCGGAGTCGGATCCAGCGTCGCCGTCGGCTCCGTCGTCGGCGCTGGCGTCGCAGTCGGAGTCGGCTCCGTCGTCGGCGCTGGAGGCGCATGCTTTCAGTCGGCGCAGAGGAACATTTTGCGGCCACACTGCGCAACGCCGCAGTAGAAGCCGAAGAGTACTCCACGCCCCTCGTCACAAATACCCTCTCCATGCTCGTGGCTGCGCCGAGAAGAGCGAACGAGCATGGACCGCGGAAGGCTGTACCACTCGGTGCAATCTATGCCGCCGCAACAGCCCAGGGCGCGGGGGGCGCGCCCTGTTGCCAGACTCGCAGAGGCGGTGCAATCTTGGCGAACAGGATAGGGGGCGCAGCCAAGAGCCGTAGAGACTTGTGAATAAATCTTCCTCGGCACCACACTCTGCATGGGGGCGCAGCCAAAAGCCGCAGTCGCTGGTGAATCTCGATTAGGGATGGGGGCGCAGCCAAGGGCCGCCGAACTCGGATCCTGCACAAGGGGAGGAGGAGGGAGAGGGGAGGCGCAGCCAAAAGCCGCAGTAACAGGGGAATTGGAGGAGGAGGAGGAGGGGGGCAGGGCGGCCCATTGGAGCAGCGCTGTCTGCTCTGGGTTATCTGTCTGTTCTCCCCACAGCAGTCCCTGAGGTGGCGCCTCAGTCGCCGCGGGGGGGGGGCCTGCCCGCCTGTCCTCCAGGTGGGAGGCCAGCGCTGCCGACCTCTATGGACTCAGATCGCCTTTCTCCGGACGCCCGTTCACTGCCGCCCCCCAGTTGCCTGACACTCAGTGATTGGCGCAATCTTTGCGAACAGGATGGGGGGCGCAGCCAAGAGCCGCAGAGTCAATGCGAATGAGTCCGGCGGGGGGCGCAGCCAAGAGCCGCAGAGACATTGTGAATGATAAGGAAGAGGGGGCGCAGCCAGTGGCCGCTGAACTCTGCGGGCGATCCCGCAGACCGACGGAAACGGGATGCAAGAGTACCAGAGCCACAGAGGGCTGACCCGGGACCAGCAGCGGCCCCCCAGGGAGCCCGGCGCCAGGATGCAAGCAACAGGAGAACCCGCGGGCCACGCTAACCTTCACACTGCAGTCGCAGAGTCCACACTGTGTTCGTCGTCGTCGAGTTGGAACTGCATGGACGTTTCATGGATCTGCACGGCACGTCCGACAACAGCACGTCAGAACCAAGAGGGAGAAGGAATGAGACCCCCAATCGCGCTGATGAGCACGGTGCACGACGCGTAGTCAACAGAGAAGGTGGGTCTCAGGGTGGAATTCCAGACAGCCCACAGTATAGCCACACCCGCAGCACGCAGACAGAGGATAAAATTACTGAGGTCGACGGTATAGCCACACACGCAGCACGTAGACAACAGCCAAGATGAAGAGGTAGAAGTTCTGAACGAAACAGAAGCCGAGGCTACTGTGGGGAGACGGCCCACCGCTGTTTTTTGCGCTCCTTGGGGGCCCGGTGGTTCGGGTGGCCCTTTGCAGCGCGGTGATCACTGTTCACTCCGCCGCTCCGACCCCGGTGCAGCTGCCACGGCCGAGCCCAGTCGACGTCGAGCCTCTGGTGTCGCCGAGTATCCCGGCCGCAAGTCTCCACCATACGGGCCTCGTTGTCCTGGCTGGGGGGCTCGCGATCTGCTCGCGACAGCTCCAGCTGCACGCCTGGCAGGGTTTTGCGGAGAAGCGCAGGCCGCATGGTTGGCCGCCAGGCTGGGGTCGGGTCGCGTCGGGCGGCCAGGGCAGACGCAGCCTTGTGGCACGTGGGGAGGGGCCCTTTTCGCTGGCGCTCGCCTTGGGGCCTGTGCCCGCCGTCGCTCCCAGGCGCGCCCCCTTTGGGCAGCGCAGGACTCTCTCCGGCCTCTGGGGCGCCACTGGTTGTGCCGGGCGCGAGTGCGCACGGCGGCGCAGCTTCCATAGCCGGGGCGCAAGCTGCTTCGCCAGTGGCGCCCTGGACGCCTGGCGAGGGCGCCCGGGGTTCGCCGTCCATAAGAGGCTCACTGACGGGGAAATGGGGGCGAATAGGCGCGAAGAAGTTTCTCCCGACGAGCCAGCGGATGGCTTCGCTGTCCTGCGTCTGGGCGGTTGCTCCGTGGCCCCCCTGCAGGGCGCGTGGCTCTCCCAGAGGACTGCTGACGGACTGATTGTCCTGAGGGGGGTACTCCGCGGCTTCCGCAGCCTCCGCCGTCTCCGCCGTATTTCCGTGCCTTCCGCAGCCTTCCGCGACTTCCCGCCCCTTTCCTTTGGCCTGCTGGCACAGCTGAAGGGGAGGGTCGTTAGTGTGAGCTGTACACTGGTCACTGCAGGCTACCTCCTCTCGATTCCCCACTGGGGCGTCATCGTCTGACCACGATGCGGGGGGTGGTATCGTGACGTCTGCCTCGACCGCCTCTCGATTCCCGTTTGGGACGTCATCGTCTGTCGACGCAACGGGGGGTGGCACGTTGCCGCTGCTGCTGCTGCTATGCTCCGATATGTCGTTGTTCGTGGCAGGATCCTCCGGATGGTCGTCTGTCGTCGTCACGGGGCGTCGAGGTGGTCCGTGCTCAGGGCGGTCGTCGGGGACGGGGCTGGGACTCGAGACGCCACGATTTGCGTCTGGCCTAACGGGCCCCATTTCACTTCGGGGATTCGGTAACATCGAAACCGCGCTCCCTTCTGGCCGAACGGGCCCCAGTTCAGCCGTGGCAGAATCCTCCGGATGGTCGTCAGTCGCCCTGGTCACCATGACTGGAGCCGCCTCGAAATTCTGAGTTCCTGGTCCCGTGACGGGGGAGGTACAGGGAGGAGGAGGGGCGCCCTCCAAATCCTGGAAGAGCATGCCGATGACCGCCGTGATGGCCAAACGAAATCTGGCAATCTTAGCCGCCAGCTTCGACCGCCTCGCTGCGGCGACGCTGGCCGCCAGCACCTTCCAGTCGAAGTCGCCCGCCGAGACATCGGTGCCAGCAGACTGGTCCTGGAACAGCTCGCAAAGCAGTAGGCCACGATTTGCCCCAAGCCTGCCGCGGAATTGGCGCTGAGGTCAGTCAGGGTGTCCTTGAGGGCGAGGCCCCTGGACGGAGACAGGATCCCTGGCGACTTGCCAGCGATCTCTGGGGTGACGGGGCCCGCAGTCGCCACCATGCTCACGAGGCCGCGCTTCAGCTCATGCTGCCACCCGCTGCGAACCCAACGGGATTCCAGCGCCCAGTCGCCCCAGGCGCTGCCCGTCAAGCCGCCCTGGACGAACATCCCGATGATCGCCATCATGGCCAGGCGGCCGTTCGCGATCTCGGCATTCAACCTGCGCTGCCTGGCCGTGGCGTCGGTGCTGTAGAGACCGATAGGCCTCCATCCGAGCTCGCCCGGCTTCCTGTTAGGGTCCGAGTTGCACCCGAACGGGCCCGACTCGCAGTAGAGGCAGTACGCCACAATCTGCAGCCAGCCGGGTCCTGGCACCTTGGAGAGGGCAGCCAGCCCGTTCGGGATGTCCTCGAACTTCACCCCGAGAGACGAGGAGATCTCGCCAGGAAACATGCCAGCAACCTCGGGCGTGACGTAGCCCATCGCGGCGAGCATCCTCACGCACCCATGCTTGATCACTGTCTCGCGGCGCCTCTTGAAGGCCGCTGCGTCACCGTCCTTCGCGAAGCCTGCGGGGCACCAGAAGCCCACTGGCGCCTGCGCGCCCAGCTCGCTCTCGAAGGCGCGCAGCGGGGAGCCCGCGCACAGCGCCCAGTCGCCCCACGCGCTGCCCGAGAGGCCGTCCTGGTAGAACATCCGTTGAAGGTGTGTTGTACAGGCCTACGTGGCCAACACCTGGAGCCAATCCTTGTGGAAGAAAAACGTAAAGACATCGCAGTCCAGGCGCGGGCCCCATGGTGTCCAGGGGCCACCGTTCCTGATGAAGGCGCAGTCCTCCATCAGGTTGCCCCGCCACAGGACGCCCTGTAAAGAGCACGTTGGACCACATGGTGTGGAACAGGACAAGCACGCTGTAAGAAACAAGTGCCCGAGGTCGAAAAACTGTGACATGCGGAACATACACACGATGCCGAGAACGAAGTGCCATGCGGTAGCCGATGACGATAATGAAGTGCCGTGTGAGAGCCAAAGACGATAGTGAAGTGCAACCTGTATACCAGCATGTACGAACTAACGCTCACGCCATGGAAGAAGTGGAGGAAGGACAAGCACAACACGTCAAAGATGTACCAGAAGTAACACTTCGCACACAGAAAGGCCCGTACGGGAGCCGATGACTATAGTGGAGGAAGGACAAGCACAAGACGTCAAAGGTGCACAAAATTTACACTGCGCACAACAGAAGACCATACGGTAGCCGATGACGATAATGAGGTGCCGTGTGGTAGCCGATGACTCTCATGAAGTGCCGCCTTGCCCCACGCATGTACGAACTAACGCTCCCGCCATGGAAGGGCAAGCACAAGACGTCAACGGTGTACAAAAAGTTACACTGCACACAACAGAAGACCATACGGTGGCCGATGACTATAATGAAGTGCCGCGTGGTAGCCGATGACTCTAATGAAGTGCCGCCTTGCCCCCTGCATGTACGAACGAACGCCCCCGCCGTGGAAGAAGTGGAAGAATACCAAGCACGACCCGTCAAAGATGTACAAAAAGTTGAACTGCGCATAGCCTAAGATTTCCGTGACGAACCTCACGCAGAAAACTAAGATGTGGAAGACCATGCACACGCACTCACATAATGCCCAATCCTGCCATGACAAGCGCAACCTCCGTCTCAGCATGTACGACCTAACGCTCACGCCCGAGGAGAAGTGGAAGAATAGCAAGCACAGCACGACAATGATGAACAGCATGCGGCACTGGAAGAAGAGGCCGACAATACAATGCCGAATTACGCCCGGCCACGTACCGGCATCACTGGCGATTAGCAGCAGAAAGCATCTTCAGGTCATCCCACGCCGCCTTGTGCAATCCAGTCTGCCCCCACCTGTGCGGAGCAATTTTCCACTCATCGCTGTCGACAGAACAAAGATCGTCCAAGGCCTTACGAAACTCCGCACTGCACAGGCTGCCCACTGCAAGCTCAAGCACCCAAGACCTACCATCCTTGGGCTCAGCGTACCGTGGTTTCATGCTGGCAACCCACCGCTCTAGCTGTGGTACAGAAATAGACTCCAAGGTAGCCACCGCCTGCTGTACATGCTCCGGCTCCTGCGCCAAGTCCGTTTTCAACTTGGTGACGACACCGGCGAAGAGCCACACACGCTTCTCACCCAATGGATGCTGCTCCCGGGCCTTGCCCTGCTCGTAAACTGGAAGATTATCCGACCATTTGTCCAAGTGAGCCTTCAAGTCCTTCTGCTTGGGAGGCTTCTTGACCAAAAACACAACATTGGTAGCACAAGCGGTCGCCTCGGATTTCTCTGCCGTTTGCAAACCAAGCCTGAGGGTACGCTCCACGATGCTATTCAAGTCCATGCGCGCCGCGGCAGGGACCGCCGACCGAGGACGCTCGGCTCCCTGCGCCGTCGGCTGGCCGGCAGCCTTGGCAAGCAGGTCGGCCATAGAAGCCATAATGCCCACACCGGTTGTGTGTCGCGGCAAGAAGAGCGATGCTGACAAAGAGCCGCTGTGACAAGAGAATCCGTACATAGCAAGAGGCACCAATGCAATTGTGGCAACCTGCGTGACATGATGTACCCACACACGCACACACATACACGTAAGATGTGCACCACGTACAATGTCAGACCCCAGGACGCACATACCTGTTGCATAGTCCCCTGTTGCATACCTGTAACCGAGATTAGTGTAGCCCCCGTACAATTATATCCCACATGACCAGATAATGCGTACTCGATACACTGAGTGCTTCACAACTTACCACATAAGTGTATATCACATGCTGTACCAACAGTTCCCAGACGTATTGACGTAGTGCTGCGTAGTGCTGCGTAGTGCTGCGTAGTGCTGCGTAGTGCCGTGGTAGTTCCGTAGTGCTGCGTAGTGCTACGTAGTGCTGCGTAGTGCTGCGTAGTGCAACGTAGTGCTGCGTAGTGCTGCGTACTGCTATGTAGTGTTGTTTCTGGCGCTGGTGTTGCTGGTGATGGTGCATTGGTGTTACTGGTGCTGGTGCTGCTGGTCGCTGGTGGAGTCTGCATAAGTACCCCCGAGGTGGCGACACGCCGGCGTCCGCCCGGCGAGCGTGGACATAAGAAGTATACAACATGATGCTCACGTCCGAGCGACAAATTCAGGGCGCTCTAGCTGCCCACAAGAAAATATCAAACAAGGATGCCGCCACACAGCGCCTGGTACACAGTGCCTTACACTAGAGTACCCGTCCTGGCACTGCTTGGTCGTCAAGATCGCGCCACTGCCCCAAATCCGTTGGAAGACCAGCACGTGCCCGGCGCGCCTTGCAGTTGCAACTGTGCCGTCCCCGTGCCTTGGGCGTGGTAAAACACGCACCGCAATGTGGGCAAGAGTATTCCCCCCCACCAGCACAAACTCGTACCCGCCACAGCCAACCGTCGTAGGGCATCCGCTCACATCCCAACGAGTGTTTGATACGTTCCGAGGAGCCAGGAAACGTCCGCTCGCAGAAAGGACACTGTCTCTTGCATCCCCCTTCCGGCAAAGAGGGAGGTGGTAAGTCTGTAAGCGTAATCACTCGTTGCAACCGGGCGTCTGCATACCGACGTACAAAGTTCTTCTGCTGATACTGCTCCCGTACCGTCACAGGGTCAAAGTTCATGCACAGCTTCGTAGCCTGCTGGAGTGCACCACCAGAGGGTAAAGGCGGAAGAAGGCAATCCGGTCTGGCCTGCTTACCACGAAGCCGGCGAGCAGGCAGTGCAGGACGCTGCCGTACCTGTCGTTCTGCAGACGCAACCGCTTCAGGTCGAGGTGCACACCGCTGCTGCCGTTGCTCTTCCGTCAGTGTGGCGCAAACTGTAACATGTGCACGCATCGCACGTAAGTAGAAACGTTTGGAGCATCCAGGAGGACCACATAGGTATCGCCCATCGTCACACCTCGTGCAGCCCAGCTCGTCGTACGCCTTCTGCGCGGCCGTCGACGCTCTCCCCTCCGCAGCTTGCGCCGCATGTCTCTTCTGCCACGTGTCCTCGTCACACCGCTGCTGCTGTAGCCGTGTCCATTTCCGTATTAAAGCCGTCCATACCGCGCCATCCTCCTGACGAGCGACCACCATCCACTGATCAGCCCACTGTTCCGCAGGTACAGATGTGAACTCTCGTAGCTCCTGTAGTCTTTCCCACCATTGATGCCTCGAGCAGGTGGCCCCCTTGTGGCTGGGATGCTGCGTCTCGCGTAGTATCCAAGCGTAGAGAGCCCGACGTTCCGGACGGTCGTCAGGAAGGCGAGCAATATGCCCCAGATATCGCAATTGCCCTTGCCCAATGTAGGTGCTGATGTGGAGGATGCCCAGCTTGTTGTTTAGATCTTGCTGCGTAAGCTGGTCATGCTCCATAAGGCTGAGTTTCTGCCCCAAAGTTCCCCGCACCACCCCGTTGAGAAAGGTTTGCCATCCTCGTACCGTACGTCGGCTCACGCACCTGCTTTCCGTACCAAAGAGTAAACATCTGACAACAGCCGCTTGCACCAGGGAACCCAAGATCTTGGCCGGTAGTCCAAACCGCGGCAATTGCCGTCGAAGTCGCTGCCATACCTTCTTGGCCGCCGAAAGCCGCTTGTCATCATCCACCTGGTAGCGACCGTCAGCAGACAGCCAACCTCCGAGAAGACGAGCGGCAGCTTGAAATATAGCCTTATCATACTCCGGGGCAACAAGCAGGCGCTTGGTCTTGGTAGGTTTGATCTCCTCCCCCCAGTCCTTCAAAGTCTCAGTAAGCAGCTCCTCGAGACGTGGCCGAATCTGCTCCCGACATACCATGGAAGTGTCATCAGCAAACATGATGTTGAGAAGAGACAACATTTCAGTGCGACGACCCAAACGAGCCAGTAGCCGTGATCCCGGTACCGTGCGGGAGTTCACCCTCCTGTTAAAAGCTCTTCCGTCAAGAGAACAAAGATCGATAAAGGCTTCCGGGTGCTCGTTGCGAAGAGGGGCGGTCCGCGAAGAGAAGTCCGACATCGCAGCATCATGGTACAGAGTGTAGCACCCCGGCGACGTGGTGCATCCTTCTCGAAATCCAACCTGCAAGGTGTATGTGTCACTCAGGCCGGCCTTACTCGCCATTTGATAGAACGCATTATCGTGGAGGCCTCGCAGCACGGCCAACAAGGTGGGAGGAAAGCCAAGCCGAGAGAAAAGATGGTACGCCGCTTCCCTGTCCACGGAAGGGAAGGCCTTCCGCATGTCAAAGAAGACCAGAGAAAGACACATCCCGAGATCAGGCTCAGCACCCGGTGCATGCGCCACTTCAGCCGCAAGTTCCAAAACCAAGCGCACGACCAGAAGCGCGTCCTGCACACTCCGATGCTTACGGTTGCCGAACTGGAAATTGGACAATAAGCGGTGCTCCTCTGCGTACCTCATCACACGTGTGGCCACCACCCGACCGAGCAATCGTGAAACCACAGATAATAGAACAATAGTCCTGTAGTTGTCGAGTTTGGTGCGTTCCCCTTCCCCTTTATAGAGGGCCACCCCGATACCTACCCGAAGTAGTTCTTCCCATTCGGCACCGGGCGTGGTCCAGAGCGCACACAACAATCGATGCAGTTCGGATCGAGCCCGCGGTCCGGCAGACCGTAGCATGTTCGCAGTGACCCCATCTTTTCCAGGCGCCGTTTCTCGCAAAGCGGAAAGTGCAGCATGATATTCGTCACGACTCGGTAAGTCACCAAGTGCTGTACACATCTGGCGAGCGGGAACGGCAGCATCAATCATGTCCTTGGACACCGGCTCCCGCTGAGCAGAAACCGTCATGTTATGCTTACGTAAATCCGCAAGGGAAAAAGGTGTCAGCCCAGAATTGTCTATGCCCTGTACGACCACTCCAAGGGAGCGCAGATGCTGATGGAACCGTCCCCAATCACCCTGATTCATTGCTGCGTTCAAACGGCCGATTATCTCACGTACATACCGTGACCGTGCCTTCTTGAGAAAATCCTTGCGCCGTCGCTTGGCTAGCTTGTAATTTTTCAAGGCCTCGACCTCCACAAGTGTTTGCTGTACCCGCCGTACATAGTCCCAGCGCGCCGTGATGGTAGCATCCAGCGATTCCAGAGAGATCTTGTCCTGAGCAGAAAGAGGAGCACCAGGGCGCGATGCGACTCGAGTACCGGCAACCACGTCTACGGCTCCGCGGAGCAGCTCTGCAAACTTCGACCACGCAAGAGTGGGAGGGCCGGGATGAGGAGTCGGGTCCGCAGCCGGCTGTGGCGGACCACCCGAAGAACCCCGCGAGCCGCTGTCTAAGCCAGCGCTCTTGCCCCTCAATCGTCGCCGAGGGATGTCCCTGAGGATGCCAGCCTTACCATCCGTAGCCAACCGGTCCGCGGCCTCATTCCCAAGATTACCATCGTGGCCGCGAACCCAACAGAAAGACACCCGGAACCGCAAGCGAGCACGAGCGAGAAGTTTTTGTGCCCGTCGTACCAATGTAAGGTTAGACGACGGCGTCCAGAATCCTTGTGTCATGTTGGCAGCGTAAGTAGAGTCGTAATGTATGACCAAATGCTGAAAACGAAATTCGGCATCCAATGCAAACTGCAGACACTTAATAATGGCTGTGAGTTCGCCGGTGTTATTCGCGCGGCGGTCAGCACCGAGGTAAGCGGAAGAAGAACTCGACGTCACAATGGGGCCACAAAACTCCCAGGCTCGTCCGCCCAGCCAGGCCGCCAGCCCCCAACCAGCACGAGCAGGTGTCGTAACCATACCAGCCGTCACAGTCGCAGGATCTGCACCACCATCCGTGTACCCATGGAGCCGTGACTCGTACGTATCTTCCCACCCATTTCCCTGAAAATCACAACCGGCTTCATCATCAGGAACCCCCAGATCCGCCATGCACGTATCTACCAATCCAGCAAATTGAGAACGTGCCGCCTCGGCGACCCCAGTCGGCCCACGTAGTACTTCTGACTGACAACGGTGGCGTTCATCACGAGGCTCGGCGGAGCGAGAAAAATGCAGAAATCGTTGCTTGCGTTGTTGTCGTTGCTCGGTTTTCTCCGGCGTGGCCACGTGAAGATGCATGGTTTTACCCATGTGATCGGCAACACCAGGGAAAGTGTGCATACGAGGCTGCACCCAACCTTTAGCGTGGTCGGACACCAGGAACACATCCAATTCGCACCACTGACCCGTCTGTGTATGCCGCCACGTACCCCGCCGACCACACGCGTGCCAACTATCTACATGTAGCAACCCGGAAGCAGCTATAAATTCTTTAAGCACTCTCCCACCCATCGTAGTCGCCGCACCAAGTCCCCGTGTACCAACCCGCTTACCGTCCCCGTCGTTGCTGCATATATGCCCATTGAAATCCCCACCCCATAGTTGTGTAACCTCGGACCCCAGCCGTGAAGACAAGCAACGTGCATACCTG